AAAAAAATTTGTTCGACATTTTCACGATAAAATGGCTCTGTAAATGCATAAAAATGCAAAAATTGTTTTGTTGGCTTGCCTACTATTTTCAAATGAAATTAATGTGTGGAATAAGAATAGCTATGACAATTTAGCTGGCAAAAAACATGAAAAAATCGTCGATTCTTTCGTATTTGAAGCAATTTGGAAATCGAAGCGGAATAGAATTTAACATTAGTAAATAATATAAAATAAATATTGAAAATTATAACGAGATAGTTACGGTTAATAGATATATCATATCTAAATAAATAGATGTTATATATTTTTATCAAAGCGAGAATCGGCATTTAGAGGGCGTAGGCAATCTATTGAATCTAAAAACAGAGGTAATTATATTGAACTTGTTTATTTATTAATTACGTCAGATAAATAATCTATTAAAAATACATTTAACTGATAACTGATTGCTCCTGGAATCGGCTTCTTACAGAAACACAGCTTCCCTATCATCAAATGTCACGGCACGCCACTGGTTTCTTGAGCAGGAAGAAGCAGGTTGAGGTAGTTTGGCCACGTAGAGCTAAGTAGTGAATATTATTTTGGAAAGAGGGTCGGAAAACTAGTAGTGAACGGAAGGAGAAAGAGAGGAAGACCAGAGCTGAGTTGGAAAGATAAGGTGGTGGAAAACTTAAATCAGAAGGGACTTAAGAGAGAAGACGCCCTTGATAGGAAGAAATGGAGGAAACATATTAGAGAAGGAAACGCCGACCCCATGTAAACATGGGAAAACGCGAAGATAAAGAAGAAAGAAGACTGTTTATTTTGACACATTTATAACTAGATGAGATGCAATTTGCCTGAGACTCATTGTAAAGTTGCTAAGTTTTATGAAATTTACTATTTTTAAAGGAAATTTAATGCACGGGACTACCAGATGGACTGAAATTGATGTAATTTGTCACAGCATGATAAGAACGATTTTCTCCTTTTTGTGATGAATCATGTAATTTATCTTGTATTCCAGAACTATATTTTCTAGAAATTTATTTTTAATATAGCCTACTTCTGTTTTGTATTTTACACTATCTTGTGTGTGATTTTACTTATTATTTGCAATTACAGTGTTGAAACAAAGATACTTTTTTATGTTGGGACAACTCTATCCTATTCAACATGGTTAAAACCCGTTTACATTTATTACTCATTTATCAGAATATGATTATTATGCGATATTATAATAAAGCAATAGTCAATTTCCTTCTATTGTTTTGTAAAGTTGTTTGCAAATGAACACAAAGGGAAAGAAATGATTGTTCATCTGGCAAAACGAAAGAATATCGGGAGCCAGCTAAAACGATTGGGCCAAGGGTTGACTGATTATATGTTAATTCTGAAGCTGTATATTTATCAATTTGTGACATTAAAACACTGTCTCTGGATGGAAATCAGTTACACAATGTATCTTTTTAATAATGTCTTTATTTCATTGCGGTTCTGACGTTTCAGAACAAAGTGTATTTGCAAGATCTCATACAGGATCATATAGGCGAACTAGACGATGGTCTAGGGCGCTTGAATTCGGGGGGAGCGGCATGGCAAAAGTACATGCATAAATTACAATAAATAATGAAAAAATAAATGTTTTTTATCACAATCCTTTCTCACGTCTTGACCCGTGAGTCGCCATTTTGAAAGTAGAGCCGTAGTCTCACGATCGCGATATTGCGTGCTGCATATTGAATAAAAATTAGATACTCTTCGGGCGACGTCAAAGTCATTTGCCTAGAGCGCTAAGTTTGCTCGGGCCGGCAGTGATCTCATGTTTACTGGTAGTGCGGTTACTTTAAACTTATTACTAGCAATCGGCCCATATAGCGTGCATAACGAATTTTGTCCACGATTATCTTGGTGTATGTATCAAATTTCAAAATGTTTGCTTTGTCATAAAATTGATCTTTCCAACTCGTACTGCAAATATTTGCCAAAAATCATGTTTAGTGATCACTTAGGTACAGCGACACACGGCCCATAGAATCTACATAGTAAATTTTGTTGTTGAATATCTTATCCGTTAGATCGAATTCCAAATTCCGGCTTCGTAACGACATCGATCTTGTCAAGTTGTACATATTTGCAAAAAATCATGTTTAATGGCCGTGCGGTTGCATTGAACTTTGATTACAGACAAAACGCTTTCTAACCTCTCTTACGTCTTGTTCAAAAATTTGTATTTAAGAGAGAAACGAAGACTAATGTCTTATCTTTTCCTTCCACTAACAACCATACACTAATTCACAGAAAGAAGCATTAAAACCGAGACATACATTAAACCAGGTTTTATAGATCTTGAAAACTGATTGGATTCAGTCATCCCGAAGCAATAAAAAACCATAAAGGCACTTTCCATAACACTTATTGTTTAGATAATTAATTAAATAGTAAAATATACTGTTTTAATGAGAATGCTTTTAAACACGGGGAAATGAAACTTATTTTCAATATTTAACATTTTGTGTAACTGTTTTTATGTAATAGATCTGTATAGATCATATTTTTTGTATTCGTATTTTTTTTCTGTAGAAAGTAAAGTTAACGAAATAGTTTAGCTTTTAACTTCTGTACTTTTTATGTTTTCTTAAAATTCTTTTATATTCATTTAGGATTTTAGAAGAAAAAGAATTACCTTATTTTTTAATGGAAAAGTTGAATTTCTTTGGAAATTTCTTGTCCGTCAAATTGTCGTTATTAGGCAGAACGATCAGCAAATACCCTTATCAGTTTTTTGTCATTCCTATACTTTTCTCTGTACTATTATCAATTGGAAATTTTTATACAAAATTTGATAAAAACTTCGATTACCTTTTCTCAGCCGATAGAGGAAGAGCATTTTCCAATCATGCTTTTATACAAAAAACATTTCCAATGAATACGTCTTCGTTTGTTGATGAATTGAGATTTTCAAAGAGACCCGAAGCATTAATTGTTTGTTTTGTTAGAAAAGATGGAAAATCTATGTTAGAAAAGAATTCTTTGTCAGAAATTGCCATCGCCGATGAAATAATAAAAAATGTGACTTTCGTTTTCGACGGTAAAACAATTGGCTATTTTAATATTTGTGGAATGGTACGTGGCAGATGTTACGAAAATTCTATTATCAGTATGAAATCATACATAGACGATATTGTCTCGAAGAGGAAAAGATTAAAATACCCCGTTGATATAGATGCTTTGACATATACGTTTCAATTGTTTGCGGTAAATTTTGGAGGTGTTACTACCAACGCTAATGATGAAATAGAAAAAGCAAAATCCATTAGATTAATATATTACGTAGATGAAAGTAATTTGGTCAAAGACTCTCAGGTCAGCGAATGGAGAAAGATCGCGTACAAACGTATAAAACAATACAGTTTTAAACATATCAAACCTTTTCTTGATCCGTTTCTTTCTATGGAAATTGATATAGAAATGCTCTCTGGCTTCACAAGAAAATACATTGCTGTGGTTTTAATAGTAATAGCCGTTTTCTCCATGATAACACTGATAAGTAACGACTACGTAAGAAGCAAACCTTGGCTCGGTCTGGCAAGTGTAGCGTCTACTGGATTAGCTGTTGGATCTGCATTTGGAGTTTTAAGTTTTTGCGGAATCGAAAGCACTGATTGGAATATCACCATTCCGTTTTTAATATTAGGTAAGCATTTTGATATTTTAATTACCATAAAAATTATTATTTAGGCCTACTTATGTATTTTACCAAATTTAAGATGATCGCTAAAAATAAAAGCCACAAGTTGAAAAACTTCTGTCAATAAATTTACAAACCAAAGTTTTCAATACAACAAAAGCCAGACTAAAAAATATAATCACTTAACTTCAAACTTTTATCTAGGAATCAGATCCGACTCCCGCAGTAACGTTTTCGCAATTTATTACAAAATAACGCTCCTGTCATCTGTGAGGGTTTTTGTTTGACAAGCTGATTCTGGTCTGGAATGTAGGGGAGATCCTTGTACATTAGGGCACCTTGTACAGTACTTCTGGACAAGCTCGTCAGTTGAAAAATAATACATTGAGAAGTAGTAATTAGCGATATCTAGTAGCTATTTCATTACAACATTCAAAATGCATGACGTAATTTTGACTCGTTTCACCGCTGTGACACGTCGTGTGATTTTTATAGGTGTTTGTTTTTTTTGCATTCCTTTCGGATCTTGGTTTTAATCGAAATATTTTGAGGTGAGTAATTTAATTAAGGTACAGTTAGTTGATAACTACATTCGTAACCACTTATTTTAATAAATAACATTGGATTTCTGTAATTCAAAAATTATAACCATACTTTGTTATAAACAAGAGAAAATTGTACCTCGGGACAGTGAATTTTTTGTACCTTGGGACTGTCTTAAGGTACAAGGCATTGCTTTTCTCAACTATTTATTTAATATTATTTTGTTTACTTTTGTTATTATGTTTCTGTTTGCCGCGAAGAAAAAGAATGAAGTGAATAAAATGCTAAATCTGTTAAAAAGAGAGTTTTTAAGAAGAAAAAAGTTGAAGTCGGTAGCTCTGAGGATGAAAGTTCTATGATCTTAGAAAATGACGATTCATGTGATAAAGTTCAAGAGGAAAATAATTGTGTGGGGTGCGGTGAAAATTATCTTACTACTTCCAGCACAGCAGACTGGGTTCAATGCCTTACCTGTCGATTCTGGGTGCACGAAAATTGCACCTATTTTGAAAATTACTATCAGAAATGCGGTATTAATTCTAAAAAAATTTAGTAAGTAGTAATGTTTGTGACCTATATTTGTAATGACTATTGTTTTTCTTAATACAAAAATGAAATTATCTTTGGTTTTCAATCATTTAAATGTCTTCTACACAACCTTTAAGCTTCATACTTACCTGCATTTCCAGTATATAAAACATTTTTGTTAACTGATAGAGATAATATTGTTATAAAGGAAAAGACTTGGATAAACTCTGTTGTTTTTTCATCTGGCGTTAATTGAGATTAAGATAAACGTTAGGATTGGTTCGTGTCTCAAGGTACAATCTATGATTGTACCTTGAGACACGAACCAATGTACAATCTATGATTGTACCTTGGGACAAATATCTGTAAGTAATTATTTAACATTTTCTCATAAATAAAATAGCATAGGGTCACGTGTTGCACCATATATAGTGATGTTATCAATTACTAATAGAAATATTGAATAGTCGTAGTTAAAGATCAATTTGAACTTAAATTATGAAGGTTTAAAGGAAAGTGTCCCAAAATACAAGGATTTCCCCTACGCAGTTGAAAGTTGTGCAGTTACTTGATAATTTTATAATTGAGTCTTGGAGTCAGAGTTGAGCCCCACAGTACTAATGTGCTTAACATTTTCGTAAGAGTCGAATCTAATTTTGAAGTGACAGTGAGGGACAATTATAGCTGGCCAAATCATTCTTGACAGATAGACATGTTATGACTTCGGGCGAAGTTATGGACCATTTAGAAGGCATCGACGAGGCACCAAGTCCAAGTGGGGCAAAAATCGCCGAAGTATAGTATATGCCCAAAAAATTATGAAAAAACGTAAAACCGTGTGCTTCGGAATTCTAAATTCGGGCCCCACGATACAGTGGCGTGCCGTCATCAGAAGCGTTGGAAGCGCCGCTTCCCTCCTATTCTCAAAAAAAAAAAAATAAGTAAATATTAATTTTAATTATATGAAAATAATCGCACAAAATTTTATTATAACCGTATTATGTATCTTATTACAAATTTCTATACTACACGTGGAAAAAAAACTGCTGTTGTATATTAGAATATTAGTGGCCAAGTGGAATCTCCTGTATTTTCAGATTACGAAAAGCCAGATTTGCGCACGCGCTTTACAGAGCACCAACCTCACCCCGTTTTGCCGGTAGAAGCCTACGACCTTGGGTGGAAGCTGCACACATATAAAGATTCCAATTCTATCAAGGACCAGTTCTGGGCTGTTAGCCGCCCGCTCACTAGATATTTCGATTACGTGAATAACGAGTAGATTTATAACTTAACCCAACCGATAAGAATTTGCTGATTTGTTTTTACGATAGTTCTGTATAGTTGACAGGAGTTAAAAAAATCCATTAAAATATTTGATATATTTATTCCGCTTTTCATTTTATATTACTCACGGATTTCGATATTAAACCAGTGATATTACGATTTTGTACATCCCATCTTTAAGGAGATGTAGAAAAAAACGTGTACAATTCTTGCATAATGTTAAAAAATTAAACGTTACTTCGACAGCGTCATTTACAACTAAATTTAATGAATGAGAGAGATGCACCGGGTACAGAAATAGCTCTAGAATTTATTTTCCTTAAATTTACGATTTACGTATCCGTTTGTCATTAAAATTTGTCTTTCCACTTTTTCCCGAGACTACAAATATTCGAGTACAAAGTAACTGGTTTCGAGTTATTTCTACTTAAGAAGTAGTTAAATAATTAAGCGATTAGGGAATTGGGGACGTAAACAAAACCCTGATGAAAGAGCCGGAATTTTACTTAAACAAAAGGCTAACCGGACCAATATCTAGCCGAGTACAGTGGGACTGATTTCTTCATAATATTAGATGTAATAAAGACAGAAATTTTTCCAGTTCAATGAAAGTGAGTAAAAGTTGTAAATTTTGGAAATTTCCGTGGACACCTGGTCTTAAAACGAATTACAGTAGTTAGAAAACAAATGACTTTTAAGTTTAACAAATTTAGATTTTTACAGCTATGATGAGAAACGTTTAAAATTTACAACAACCCTGTCGCGTCCTTTGAGATATACTAGTGATGAGACAAAAGAGACATTAACCGGTATCGGCACCCTCGGGATTTGGCAAGCATGCACCGCACCGCACACCTACCAAGACCGTCTCTGATTCCATCCACGAGCCACTGGTAGGGAGCAATTTTAACTAGGTGGATTGTTTTAATATTTAAAAAGTAAAGACTATTTTATGTTATTTTTATGTACGTTTCTTCACAAAACTATATTTATAATTTTCTTTAAAAGTATATTCATACAATTGAATATTTTGTACCAGGTATGTATAATTGTATATCATCACACATTTTATTTTAACAAGTAAGTTTTTATAATTTTATTTTTAATTTTAGCCCTTATATTATAGCTAGCAATTTAGAATGTAATTGTGATATCGAAAATTTATTTCAAAAAGTTTTGGCTCGAGACCATATAATGAAAAAGAAAAAATTTGTTCGACATTTTCATGATAAAATTTATGAAGATATAAAATGGCTTTGTGGATGCATAAAAATGCAAAATTTGTTTTGTTGGCCTTGCCTACTATTTTCAAATAAAATTAGTGTGTAGAATGAGATTGGCTTTGACGATTTAAATAATTTGAGTAAAGCTGGCAAAAGACACGAAAATCCTAAATCTCGCATCGATTCTTTCGTAAAATTGAAGCAATTTGGAAATCAAAATAGAATAGAATTTAACATTAGTACACAATATAAAATATATATTGAAAATTATAACAAGATAGTTACGGCTAATAGATATATTTTAATTAGTAGATGTTATCGAAGCGAGAATTGGCATTTAGAGGGCGTATAGAATCTATTAAATCTAATATAAGAGAGTTAATTATATCGAACTTACTTATTTATTAAGTGCGTTAGGTAATCTATTAATTAAAAATACATTTAGAAAAGTCTACGGTTTTTACTGGCTTATGGAACAAACGAATACGAATGGACCCTAGACCATCACTGACTGATTGCCCCTGGAATTCGGCTTGTTACAAAAACACAGCTTTCCTATCATCAAATGTGACGGCACGCCCCTGCCACGATATAAAAACGCTTCAAAAATATCAAAACTTTGTATACAGAATATAAGCGTTGTCAGTTTTCATACTAAGAGCTGAAGACAGTTTTTTCAGAGTAAAAAATGGGTTTCCAGTAAATGTAATCAATACAATAAATTAGCATTTCTAGCGAGTTTGAAAAAATATAAGTATTCCCATTTGACTATGTATATTTTCTTGAGAAGGTGTAACTTTTGGAATAAACTTTTTTACAATGTATTAGTGTATTATACTGGTAATTATGTTTTATGCACTTCTAAGATAATTTAAATAAACTGTCAAAAAAAGAATAAGTGAGGAAAATTTCTTACATGTGGATGGATCATTTTGGACAGACGCACGATACACATAACCGGAAAAATCCAAAATAACTGTCTGCATCTATCTAAATGATGAGTAATTGATAACTGTAAAAATTTATTAACTAAAAATAATTCAAAAGCTTTACGATTGACAGTATTGTTATCTGCTATTAAAGAAATAACTTTAAAACCCATTTTTCCAATTTTTCTAAAACTTTATAAATTATATTTTTTTAAAATTTTCAGCAGTTAAATTATAAATTGGCATTATACTAACAACATCTTTATATTTAGATACAATGCTAGATATTATAAATACCTGTGCTGATTTTACATTTTGATGGTTCATTTTCACTACGTTCAAATATAATATCACCTTTAACACTTAATTGTTGCTTAATATATATTTCCTTAAATAATAAGTTTACAATATACTCGTGACTTTTTAAATACTTCATTTATCCTTTAAATATTCTAAGCTCCTTTCAATATTATTATCTGTAACACTAAACTTACAA